TCTTATTTGGATTTTTAACATTTGTATGGTGTGTCAGAAAAGTTTATCTAAAATATTATCCTAAAATACTCAGATACGAAGAAAAAGATTCAGTTATCTTAGGAAAGCAGCATTTTCAAATAGGAGTTTCTGGTAGCAGTAGATATCCTGTCATCATGGGATTGTGCTACTGAGTTCAAAAATTACTTCTAGGCAGAGGAGAGGTGTTGAAAAAGCCAGGAGGCAGCTGGGTGGTACAAAAACTCAAAATCACATAGCTTCTGCTCCGAGCTTCTCCATACGTGTACCTCATAAAAGCTTTTAGGTTTTATCAATAAGTTTCCTAAATCATGACTTCGGTCTTTAGTGTACTAGTAACTCCTGAATCAAAGAAAAAAAAAAAAAGTGGTTCTGCCTAGATTTACATAGGCCTGTATTCCCTCTTACTCTACCTCCCTCTGCACAGCTTTTTCTGCAGTCAAATATTAGAGAGGTAGTAACAATCCTTCCCAGCTGACCCATGTTACTAATTTTACTTCATATTCCCTTTGGTCACCAAAAGACAGAATTTCTGTGTTTGCTTTGGTGTGCTTTTTATTCAGGAAGACATAACTAATTCTAGAAAACCTTTTCCATTTTTAAAAGCTTCAAATAATTTTACCTGACATTTTTTCTGTTTGCACCTTTATTTTATTTAACATGTGCTGCCTTTTAACAAATAAAGTCAGTCCTGGTTTTCCAAGAGCAAATAACTTCTGCTGGAATACTGTTGTAGAGAGTTCTTCAGCATGATGTTCAGGTGATTGTTAGTTGCCAGATATGACCTGCAGGACTATAGGATAATGTAGAATAACTCCTGACAGGAGGACCTTGCTCCATGCAGACTTCAGTACCCACACAGCTTAGCACGATGCCTTTCCTTGATCACCACATTCATCTAATCATAATACTCTTTCAGTGGAAGTGTACCGGAGACACCTAGTTTGAGAAGATTAATCTTATTTCCTTGGTATATAGAACTTTTGAGTCATCACCACTACTTGTTTGAGCAGTATTAAAGGTAAGTATCTTAGTTGTAGCTATACACCCACACCAAAGTTTTTATATAAGATTCTAATTAGCATAAGAAAACCTGGTGCATATTTGTAGAACAGGTGCAAGTGATGTCTCATCTCTTCCTGAATAAAAGGTTAATACAATCCCACAAGTTATTTAATCTAAATCACCTAATCTTATTGCTAAAAATGATGTGATTGTAAATTGATATAAGTGTAAGTTAAGAAGATTCAGATAAATGCATTGCAATTATTAGTTAGTATTCAATAAGGGGCAGGATTTTTTTTCTTTAAGAAAATGTACACCGCTAACTAGTAGCAATTAATTTGCACACATTGCATTAATTTAAGACTTAATTATGCTGTTAAGTTTAAGCTGAAGTATGTGTGGCACGTGCAGTGTAGGAGTGTGATGTAACAAGAACTGTAGCTCATGTTTTGACTTGTGGATTTAAAATCTAAGGGAATTTGATGTAAATGGAAATCCAGAGGATCTAAGTTTTATGACATGAAATTCTGTTGTGGAAAGGGAAAATAGCAACTTAGTAGAGTATGAATGGTATTGGTAGCCCTAGATCTACTTTACAAATTTTATTACCTCACTTAAATTTTTTTCAAGTATATATTCAATGATAAGTGATTGATTATTATATTGAAAAGTAGAGATGCTGTGGTAAACATTTCTTAGCTCTTTTTTTGCTATACTCATTTAATGACAGACTTAGGCGTTTGTGAGTGTGTGGAGAAAATACTGGTTGTATGATCCTCTGAGATGTGTAAACTGGCATTGCTTTTCAAAAGTAAATGAAACTATGAAAAGATAATTCAGTCAGCCTTTGAGACCAGATATAAAAATATGCTCAAGCTTATATTACTTTCTGTGCATAAATGCAATATGTGTACAAATATATAGAAGCCTCCATAGATCAAAAAAATGATTTAACTGTGCTATAATTAATAAGCTTTTCTTACCATGACAGAGGTTAGTTATATTGGTGTATTTAATCTTTAAAACTGTCTAGGCATTAATTTCTCCTAAATATGATTTATATCCACAGAGAATCCATTAGGCAAGAAAGTGGAACAGTGTTTTGATCACTAATGTGAAGTAGTGATTACAGGGCAAGAAGGCCAAGTGTGTAAGATGAGTGCTGGAGATTTTAAAACCTTAAAGGAAGGCATTAGTTGCTGCAGTTTAATTTATAAAGTTGTACACAATGTTGGTTTATTCTGAATGATAGGACAGAGAGTATGATTTTCCCTGTTTCTTGGGGTGATTTTTACTTCACAATAAGAATCAAATGTAATTATATGTACTCTAGGAAAGCTCTGTGATTGAGTATTGCTTAAAAGCTATTAAACTATGCATAATCCAGCAATTGAACTTATCTGCCAAGAAAAAGGAATACTTCAACTATATTTGTTATAAACTTAAGATGCTTTTTTGTGTTAAATTTAAGCAATGCTATGTAACTTTCTATAATTAATTTTTGGTTTGGAGCTTTTAACATCTTAGTCCTGGGGCTTCCTAAAGCTTCCCTGTTCCTAGGCTGCCAGAGCGATGGGAAGGTTCACTGCATACCAGAAATCTTCTCAGTAGTGTACAACTGAATATATCATTGTTTTCTTCTCAAGAATTAATGACAAATGGGAATATGACTATGCGCAACTTTCTAATGTTTCCTGTAGCAGGAAGTAGCTTTCATTTAACAAACGTCCTTCAGTTAAAACAAACAAACAACTCTGACAATAGCAAAGAAATAAACAAACAAAACCCCCTTTTGTCCACATACATCGAAGACTGGCTCTCAGAATGGATGCAGTTTGTGGAATTTCCATCTTCAAAAATTTTCAAAATTTGGCTGGACAAGGCCAACATTTGAACTACGTTTGATCAGGATGTTAAACAAGTGACACCCAGCCATCCCCTCTGGCCCTTTCTATGGCTCAGGCCAAATAAATCACCTTTTGGGGTTTTTTTAGTGAGTAGTGAGATGTTCTTCCTTCCTTGTTACTTTCCCCTTTGAGGTGGGAGGAAGTATTTTTGAGAAGTAATGGAAATTAACACTTTTTTTTTTTTTTCTGC